AAGAGGATCCCTTGTGCCGGGACCGGTTTGGCTCAGTGGATAGAGCGTTGGCCTGTGGACTGAAAGATCCCGGGTTCGATTCCGGTCAAGGGCATGTACCTTGGTTGCGGGCACATCCCAGGTGGGGGGTGTGCAAGAGGCAGCTGGTGGGTGTTTCTCTCTCATCGACGTTTCTAACTTTCTGTCCCTCTCAATTCCTCTGTGTAAAATCAATAAAATATATTAAAAAAAAAAAAAAAAAGAGGATCCCTTGTGCCTTAAGCATGGTTCACTGCAGCCCTGCCAGGCGGATACCTAAAAAACTACAGGACTGCATGGGCTCCACAGCACCACCGCGTGGAGGGAGAGACTCTGCTGAAGAGTTCTGCCCAGACTTCCAGGGAACACACAGTTTGGATTAAGCTAAAAAAGTTCTGAGATTCGGGACAATTTGGGACTAAGTGGGCTCCAAGAGGAAGAGTTTGGATTTTGTAGGGAGGAAAAAGAATTTCATTCTACCCTTTTGGGCTCTTAGCTGAAACTTCTATCGCTGTAGTAAAATATTAATAAGATAAAAATACAAGGTCCCACTGGGCGTGGCTCAGTGGTTGAATGTCGACTTATGAACCAGGAGGTCCTCATGGTTGGATTCCCGGTGGAGGCACGTGCAGTGCCTCCCAGTGTGGGGCGTGCAGGAGGCAGCTGATCAATGATTCTCTCATCATTGGTGTTTCTCTCTCTCTTCCTTTCCGAAATAAATAAGGGTACATGAGGGATTGAAATAAAGGAATATATATACCCTGAGCTATGGTTATTTCGATTATACATGTTAAGGGCTTACCATAGTGCCAGGCCTACTGAATGTGCTCCATAAAATGGCAATAATTATCATTATTACTGGGAATCAAGATGGTAAATACTGAAGATTCTGGAAACTTACAGAATGCCCTTTGTGTCTGTTTCCCAAGATAATCATCAATATGTTAGAGTCGCTGAAGGAGGAATGCCCGAGGCCAAAAGTGATAAAGAATTATACATTTATTAGGTCACCTGGAAAACCAGATGGGTTGAGTCCCCGAAGGCGCCAGCACCCAGGGAGGGGGAATCACAGATTTGATTTTATTTCATTTTTAAAAATTCAATAAATCTTTATTGTTCAAATTATTACAATTGTTTCTCCTTTATTCTCCCCATAGCTCCCCTCCACCCGGTTCTCACCCCACTCTCTGCCTTTACCTCCCCCCCTTTGTCCACATCCATAGGTGTACGGGAATCAGAGATTTTAAAGGAGGATAGGTGGGCTTTTCCGGGTGGGTCTGGATCCTGGGAGGGCCCGGAGGGATAGGATAATGGTCTTAGCAAGCGAAAGGTGGCGTAAGCCAAAGGGAATGTCACCGGGGACGTGGTCTAAAGATCAGTTCCTTGGAGAGGGAGAACCGATTCAATTCTCTGATCAGACCTAACACCATAAGCCCGGGGAGGCCGGCTCTTTGGAGGCAGCCAGGGGGCGCTCTTAGGCGCCGAAGGAAGCCAGGCAGCTGGGTTGGGAGGCCAAGAGCTGGTTGAAGGGCGCCATGGGCTGGGTCTGCTGGCTTAGGGTTAGGGTGGGCGCGCCCCCCTGCAAGTCTCCACTAGCCTCTTTTTCCGAGGCGCCCCTTCCTGTTAAGGAGCCGGGGGACAGTGATGGGCAGGCCGCGGAGCCATGTGCTGTGCTCTCAGTCTGCTGTTCCTGGGACTTGGGACTGGGGTGTGGACATGTTTCTAGGCTCCCGCCTGTCCTTGTTTCTTCCCTGGAAGCAGTGAGAGCTCCTCAAGGCCTGCAGAGAGCACCCAACTCCTAGTGAGGCGAGCCTCCCTCCCCGGGATGCCCCAGTCCAGCCTTTCCCGTCTCCAGCACTTCCCTCCTGAGCCCCCCGTTTCCTGCTTCTGGGCTGTCACATGTATCCCAGCCTGGCCTGTCCCTCCATTCTCCTCCACCAGACAAGTGCCCGCTGTTCCTCCAAGAGGCAGGAGCACTGTCGGGGCTGGGGGCGAAACTTGTGCTGGGGGTCTTGTTACCCTGGCCCCCTTGTGGGCTCCAGCCTCTCTTTCCTTCCCTTTGGTTGTGCTGAGCCGGTGCCCATTCCCCTCTGCCGGCCTGGGCCTGGACCCCCAGGGTCTGAAAGGGGGTCAGGAGCAAGGCCCCCCAGGGGCAGAGGCTGAGGAAGTTCGGAGACAGTTCAGAGGAAAGGACACACATCCAGCCCCAGCCTCCGTGGAGACACCGCCTCATCCCCTCACGCCAGCCCTTCAGCCAGAGCGTTCCTCCTCAGGTTGCACAAGGCCGGCTCCATCAGACCTAACTCAGTAAACCTGGGAAAGGCCAGAGCTGAGTCAGTGGCCCTTCCACGTGGCCCCGGCTGTCCGTCCTGCTCTTGCCCTCAATCGATCCAATCCAGGAAGAGAGGCCCCAAAGCCTCACCCTGCTTTCTGCAGCCCTGGCAGGGCCTGGCTCAGGGGTGAGTGACGGGCAGACAGGGTGTGTGCAGCACAAGGGCCCGCCTTGGGAGGGCTCCCCTGCCCCCCGCCTTGGGAGGGCTCCCCTGCTCCCCGCCCCCCTCCCGCCTCGGAAGGGCCTGCCTTCTTCTTCTTCTTTTTTAAAAAAATATATATTTTATTGATTTTTTACAGAGAGGAAGGGAGAGGGAGAGTTAGAAACGTAGATGAGAGAGAAACATAGAACAGCTGCCTCTTGCACATCTCCTACCGGAGATGTGCCTGCAACCAACGTACATGCCCTTGACCGGAATCGAACCCGGGACCTTTCAGTCTGCAGACCGACGCTCTACCACTGAGCCAAACCGGTTTTGGCAGGCCTGCCTTCTTGACTTAACTCTCAGCTGGCTGTAGTGATCTGTCTTTTTAAAAAAATGTTTTTATTGATATCAGAGAGGAAGGAAGGAGAGAAACATCAATGATGAGAATCATTCATTGGCTGCCTCCTCCCCGCAACCCGGGCATGTGCCCTTAGCTTGAATCGAACCCGGGACCCTTCAGATCGCAGGCCAACACTGTATCCACTGAGCCAAACTGGCCAGGTCTCAGCTGTAGTGATCCTGACATTCTTAATTTTTTTAAATCAGGGGCCCTGCAGATTCCGCAGCCAGATGACCAAGGTGGGGTCTGTGCTGAGGAGGAAGAAGTCGCAACAAGGGCTTCGCCCAGGCGCCCCGCCAGGATGACGGCCAGGATGACGTCCGTTTAGCCTGTGCCTGCTTCTCCGTTCTGGGATGTTGTTAGGATCCAGCCATTTCTGTCACCCACCTGGGGAGAGCCACGAATGACTGACTCCCGTGGGGCGCCAGCCCCCCCCCCCCCCCCCCCCCCCCCCGCCCGCTGCAGTGACTGAGCTGGGCACAGGCAGGGAGGGATCCCTGCTGGCTGGCTACAGGCCCAGGACCCTTCTGGGGTGGCTGCCCTCCGGTTCCTGGAGATAAGTGGCTGAGGCCGAACCCGTGCGGCTTCCCCAACACCAGATCCCCTCCTTGCCCACACCTTCAACCTTATCAAGAAGGGCCACGAGGGGCCCAGCAGCCCCTGCAGGCCCCCACCCACCCCACTCCCTGTAACCTCAGCCTCACCATCAGCTCCGGCTTTGCCCTCCGTGGGAATGTGCTGTTAGCTCAAACCTCCCCCACTGTGCCCCCCGTCCCTCCACCCATCCAGGGAATCTCTCTCGACTCCGGCCCGTGGCCTCTCCTTTCATCCTGGCACTCACCTCCCTCTAAGGCCCTCACGGGGTCCTTGTGTACCCACCCGCCAGGAACAAGGACAAGCTGTGTCTTCAGAGATCTCTGGCAACCTGGCCCCGAGGGGCCCTCTGATGGGAATGGGGACAGGAAGGTTCACAGCAGAAAAAAAACCCAGTCCCCTTTTATTGAGCCAACAGTCAATTCCTCACTCCTTTCCCAGGCAACTTGACCCCGAGACACGAGGGGACATCCTTCTGCGCCCGCCCCAAGGACCCCGAACCTGGGCGGGGCGGCCTCCGAGGGACGCTCCTGGCCTTCACAGGAGCAAACGCTGGTCCGTGGGGCCCTGGAGCAGCGGGGCTCGGGAGGGGGCTGTGCCAGGCACCGGGGTGCCCTGGGCGTGGGTCAGGGTGGCCCAGGGAGGAGGTGTCTGGAATGAGGGAAGGGCCTGGCGTCTTCTTCCTCCAAATTCTTCATAAATAGAGCTTCACAGTAAGAGAGGTATGTCCACTTCCAGGGTCAAACCGGCTGGCTCCTGGCCGGGGAGTCCGACCTCAGTGGGCCGCGGGGGGCCCGTGGCTGGGCTGGTCGGGCAGCACCGTGGCTTTGGGGCAGAGCCCTGCGTCGGCTGGGGGCGGGGGGCGGGGGCGGGCTGCTGCCATCGGAGGTTCTGAGGGTCGCTGAGGTAGTCTGAGGGGCAGGTCCTTCCGGACAGGGGCCGGTCTGAGCGTCACAGGACGCAGCCAGGACTCGAACCGCCTGAGAGCAGAAGGGGCTGCGCAGCCAACTCCAGGCAGGTCTGCGGGAAGGGAGGGAGGGTGTGCCAGGGGCTGGGGCTCTGTCTCCAGGAGACCGAGGAGCACGGAGTGGGTGTGGGGGGACTGGGAGTCTGCACGGGGCTGAGCTGCTCCTGAAAAGCTTGCTTGGGCCCGCTGGGGGGCTGAGGCGTTTCCCAGGAGAGGAGCCTTCTGTGAATGAAGAGGGCAGCCCCGCACGCAGCCATCCAGGGCCCGGCCTCGCTTAGGTGCCTGAGCACAGGGTCCCTCCAGAGGCCGCCAGGGCCTCCACCAGCTCAGAGGGCCGCCAGCAGGACCTTTCTCCAGGCCGGGCCGTTCCCAACGGCCCCGCGCCTCAGCTCCGCTTTCTGGAGACCATCCCCACGGGGAGGCCCCCCTCCCCCCCGGCTGCCTGTGCCCCCCCGCCCCCAGGCCCAGATCCAGGCCCTCCAGCGCCCGGCGGGGCACCAGCGCTCCCCCCCCCCCCACCTCGGAGGCCGGGGTCCGGCCGGGGTCAGAGCACCTGCAGCTTGCGGGAGCAGGTGAGGTTGCCGTGCACCAGCCCCCACATGGCCAGCAGCTCGGCGGGCAGCAGCTTGTGCACCACCAGCATGGAGCGGAAGAAGCACGGCTCCTTGTTCATGCGGCTGTTGCGGTTCCGGGAGATGCCGAAGGTCTTGAAGCCCTTGTGGGCCACGGGCTGCACGCCCAGCACCTCCAGGCACATGCCCAGGAACACGTCGTCGATGGGGTAGAGCTCCACGGAGTCGCAGGCGCGGCGCAGGCGGCGGGCCAGGCCCCCGGCCATGAGGAAGCCGCCCCCGCCGGCGTAGGGCGGGTAGCTGGCCTTGCCGTACAGCGGCCCCGGGATGTAGTACTTGTTGTCCTTCCGGCGGATGGGCCGGGCGTGCTGCAGCACGTCCCCCACGAACAGGTCCTCCTCGGGCCGCCGGTCGGCCAGGAACTCCAGCAGGTTGGTGGGGTGGACGAAGACGTCGTCGTCGCCCTTGAAGACGTAGCGCACGCCGGGGCAGAAGGTGTCCAGCCAGCGCAGGAAGTGGGTCTCCTTGAGGGTCAGGTTGAAGAAGCTGTCCAGGAAGTCCCACTGCAGGATGTCGCCGTACAGCCGGTCCTCGTAGGCCAGCAGCTGCTGGTAGTGGGCGCGCTCCTCCTGCTTGGAGGCCGTGCCCAGCAGGAAGAGGGTGCGCCGGGCGCCCAGGCCCGCGCCCACCGACGCCTGCTCCTGGCCCCAGGTCTGGCGGATGGCCTCCCGCCGGTCGTGCTGCGTGATGACCGACTTGACGACCACCAGCAGGTAGACGTCGCCGCGGCACTTCTCGGGGTGGTTGAGCAGCATGGGGAAGTAGCGGCAGTGGCGGTAGAGCAGGAACTGCCGGAAGTGGGGCTCCAGGCCCTGGAACCAGGACTGGTGGGTCAGGTTGACGTTGGCCGAGCAGTTGGCGGCGGTCACCTCCCAGGCCTGGGGCCCCCGCGAGGCCATGCGCGCTGCGGAGACCGGCTCCTTCGATCTCTTCCAGAAGTCATTGGGGTTCACCAGCGGTCCACTTGGCTTCTGGGCCTTCGGGGGCCCTGGCGTGGGCGGTGGGGGGGGCTCTGGCAGAAACTGGCCGGGGGTCAGATTACGCTGGAATACAGCTATGCCCACGAGCAGGGCCAGGGACAGACACACACTCTTGTAGACAATTTTCTTCCTGGGAGAGAAGGGGGGCGTGGGGGAAGAACAGAGGAAAAGATGAGTCCCCCGTGATCCTCCCAGAAGCCCAGAGGGGCGGTGGGCCCTGGGTAGGGGCCAGAGGAGCATGCTGCTTCCTCTCCCACCCTGACCTCCCTCCTCCGAGACCAAGGAGCCGCAGCCCAGGGCAGCGGTTCTCAGCCTGTGGGCCGCGACCCCTTTGGGGGTCGCCTAAGACCATCAGAAAACACAGTTATTTACGGTACAATTCACCGCAGTGGCAAAGTCACAGTTATGAGGTGGCAGCGAAATAATGTTATGGCTGGGGGTCACCGCGACGTGAGGAACGGCCTTAAAGGGTCGCGGCATGAGGAGGCTGAGAGCCACTGGCCTAGAGCCTAAGAGGAGCACGGAGGGGCAGGCGCCTGGTACAAGCTAACTGACCTCGACGGGCTCCCTTAACCTCTCCACACCGTGGTCTCTTCTTCCCTGAAATAGGGTTCTAGCCAAGTGCCCGGCAACGCAGAGTGTGTGCAGCCGGGGATTAGCACTCTATAGGCACTGCCTCCGGGGAGACCTTTGCCCAGTTCCCGACCGCAGCAGGGCACCTGGGTCCATCACTTTCATTTCCTGGGCAGACTCTGCGCACCGCCCGGGAACCAGGGGTCGGAGCAGAGACAGGACCTGCTCTGTGCCTAGAGCTCTATACTGGGGGGGAGGGGGAGAGAGGGGGGGCTTCGGGGAGCAGGCCTGGGACGGAGGAAGCCTGTCCCCCCTCCCTCCAGCTCATCCATCTGACCCAACAAGAATAAAAGCCCAGGGCATCGAGCATGACCACCACCCCAAGCCCCAGCCCGGCCCCACCGCCCTTCACACCACACCGCCCTTCACACCACACCGCCCTTCACACCACACCGCCCTTCACACCACACCGGGAGTGATGCTACACTGCCTGGGAGGGCAACACATCCCGACCCCACCTTCCAAGGACCCTGCTTGCTCAGGAACCCCTATCCCACCCACTTCAGAAGCAGAAATTAGAGTGTTGCCAGGAATGCTGGACTCAGCACCCTCTTCCTTCAGCTCACAATCTGGGGGTGGCCAGGCCACCTGCTCTGGTCTCTCCTGTGGAGACATGGGGGTGACAGTTTCCCATGTGGTCCCAAGGTTTCCTTCCTCTGCATGGACTGGGTCACCTCAGGTACTGGGTTGGGGGTGTGTGTGACCTGAGACTGACCCTGGGAGGGTGGGGAGCAGAGTGCTCGGTTCGCCAGCACCATCCCACTGGGTTTGTAGGAAAAAGTCCTTCAGGGGAGGGGAGAGGAGGGGAGAGGTGGGGAGAGGACGGGAGAGGAGAGGAGGGGAGAGGAGAGAAAAGGAGAGAAGGGGAGAGAAGGGGAGAGGAGAGGAGGGGAGAGGAAAGGAGGGGAGGGGAGAGGAGGGGCGAGGAGGGGAGAGGAGGGGAGAGGAGAGAAGGGGAGAGAAGGGGAGAGGAGGGGAAAGAAGAGGAGAGGAGAGGAGATGAAGTGAGAGGAGGAAAGAAGAGAGGAGAGGAGGGGAGAGAAGGGGAGAGGAGAGGGGGGAGATGAAGGGAGAGAAGGGGAGAGGAGAGAAGAGGAGTGGAAAGAAGGGGAGAGAAGGAGAGAGATGGAGAGAGAAGGGGAAGGAAGGGGAAGGGAGTGGAGTGGAGAGGAGGGGAGAGGAAGGGAGAGAAGGGGAGAGGAGAGGAGGGGAGATGAAGGGAGAGGAGGGGAGAGGAGGGGAGAGGAGAGGAAGGGAGAGGAGAGGAGAGAAGGGGAGAGAAGGGGAGAGAAGGAGAGAGAGGAGAGAGAAGGGGAAGGGAGAGGAGTGGAGAGGAGTGGAGAGGAGGGGAGAGGAAGGGAGAGAAGGGGAAGGCAGAAGCGCGCGGCCAGGAGGAGGGAGAGCCACTGGGGGCAGCGGACAGGGTCGCCCAGATGCAGGGGCCCTCGGGGTGCGGGCTGAGCGCACGGGCTCCAGGTCCCCGGCCGCCGACCGCGGGTCCAGGCGCGCACGCGGTCGGGCATCTCCGGCCGCCGCGGCGGAGCCCGCCGGTCCCGGGCCACTGCCGCCCGGACACCCGGCCGCATCCCCGCGCCTCTGTCCTCCCTCCCCTCGGCCCCGGGAAGGGGAGCCCGGCGGCCCGGGTGCCCACTCACCCCAGAGACATGGCGGCCGGCGGCGAGGAGCGGCGGCGGCTCCGGGCGCAGCGGCGGCGGGACGGGCCGGCGGCGGAGGCGCCCCCGCCCGCACTTTTCTCTCGGCGGCGCGGGGAGGGGCCAGGGGCGGCGGCCCAGGTGCGGTAACCCCTTCGCGGCCGGGCCGGGCCGCCCCTTCTCAGGGCGGAGCCGGGGCTGCGGGGCGCGCAGAGCCGCCCGGGGTCCTCGGTCCGAACGCGGGCGGCCGGGCCGGGCCCTCGCCCCCGGAGAGCGGCTTCCCCGCGGGGCTCCCGGGAGCCGCCATCGCGTCTGGGTGCGTGTGAACCCGGCCGCCGTCCATCTCCCGCCTCCGCGGCCGGGCGGGGCACTGCCCTCCGGCTCCGCTCGGACGGTCCTCGTTGGGGCGCAGAGGCTGCCCGGCGCACCCCCGTCTCCGCACCCGCAGGCAGCAGCCCGCCCCAGGAGCTCCCCTTCAGCACCGAGGGGCCTGTCTGCCCCGCTCCGCCGCCTTCTCTTTCCATCAGCAAACACGTCCCTCAAAACCCTTCTTGCCCCCTAGCCCTTATTCACCCATTTGTGCGGTGCCGGCCTGGACGCGCGTGGAGGGGCGCCCTGGCTCGGCGGGCCTGGGACGACGGGGGCCCATCCAGGGGATTTCCAGAATCCTCTGGCAGGTGCGCTCCCTCCGCCTGCCTCTCCCCATGTCTGTGCCCGTCCCTTCCATGCTGAGGTCCCACCACGGAGCGTAGGGGAGGACCTTGAAAAAGGCCGGTGGGATTAAGAGGAAGTACATAGCAGCGAACATTCTTCCAGCAGCGAGAAGATGCCAACCTCAGCTCTGGGCTGCTTCTCAGCTGACTCCCTAGCAGCATATACTGTTGTGATCCCCACTTTACAAAGGAGGAAATGGAGGTCCCAGAGGGGAGAGCTCAAGAGGCCAGGTTCCATCATTAATAAGCAAATCCAGGAGGCCTGCCCGGCTCCGGAAGCAGGCTCGGGGCCTTCTCTCAGGGGCGGCCATGACAGGGAGCTGCTTTGAAGCTGGGACCCAGGCCCCTGAAGCCCTAGGAGCCTTTGGCTGAAGGCTCAAGGGCTCTCTAGAGAGGGCGGAGAAATCCAAGGTGCGACAGGATTTTCATGGATGTTGTGAGCTCTAATCAAGCAATGCGGAGGGCCTTCCAAAAAGAATTCCACAGGAAAACCCTTCGACCAGCACCTTCCCACTCATAACCCCACTGGCCACCTGCCCCACGGGCACCAGGGACTTCATTCACCGCCCAGGTGCTGGGTTCTCACCTTTCACCCTGGAAGTGTGAGCTGGAGGGAGGGCTAGGGCCAGGCCTGGCTGGGGCCAGCCCACCCTCCCTCAGCACTGACCTTTCCCCCAGAGGCTGTGGAGTCTCCTCAGGCCCTGGTGAGGGGCAGACACAGCTATTCCCTGGGAAGGGGTTCTGAGCCCAGGGTTGGGGGCCACAGGGGAGAGCTCTGTACTTTTTGGCTCTCGCTAGGGGCTGGTGGCCTGTCCCCGTAGGACTCAGTCTCCTGTGAGCACCAGTTACATGAGAGCCAAAGATCAGCATCTCCTACGCCGTGGCATTCCGGCAGGCTGGCTGCTATACATGTTATTATTGTTAATATTGAGAACCCACCCCACAAGCCCCAGGAGGTGGTGATGGGGGAGTTTGTCAGTGGAATCTGGTTCGTGGAGAGGAACAGTTTGTCCTCACGGGCTCATGTCGTCTGTGCCGAGGTGGAACTCAGACTGGGGACTGGATGACAATCAATTGCTCAGCCCCTGACTGAGGTTTGGGGTGGGGGATGTGGGACAGGCTAGGCCCAGGCAACTTTCAGGCAGTCTGACAGGCTCCCCGCAGGCTGTTGGCCTCCCTTTGGGCAGAGCCCTAGCAAATCCCCGCTGATCTCAAACCGCAGCGGGGTGGTTGAGCAGGGCCAATGGGAAGGGGGAGATAAGCCTGCAGATGGAAGCTGTCCCGCCCCACAACCCAGGCAGATGGAAGCTACAGAACCAGGAGATATGGGGGTGGGGGTGGAGTGAGGGTAGGTGTTGGTCTGGTCTGTAGCCATGGAGGGAGGGTGGGGGATGGGAAAAGCTAGCCGGGCAGGAGGCAGGAGTCCCAGAGGGTGGTGGCCGTGGAGGGAGGTGTGTCACTGTGCCCTCTGATCCCCTCAGGTGGAGATTCTGCCCTCGACAAGGAAGCTCAGGGAGGCCTGATGTTGGAGAAGCCCAAGAAGCTCCTCCTCCTTCTTCTTCCCTTGCCCCTCCCTCTCCTCCCCCCTCCCTTCCCTACACCTCTTTTGCACTTTACTTTCCCTTACCAGCCTCCTCCACCCCCCCACCCCCACCTTCCTCCTCCCCATCCCTGTTCTCAGTCTCTATGTCAGCCACCACCCATCCTCCAGAACCAGCTGGGATAACCAGACCCTGCTGGTTTAGTAGCAGCCAGCCGCCCCCGAGGCCACCATGCAGGAGACGCTGACCTGCGTATCTCATGTAACTGGTGCTGGCCTGGGAGCGAGGACATGCCTTCCCCTTGGGTGTGGGGAGACACCTGACGGGCCAGAGGCTGCTCTCGGTCATCCCTTAACCAGGCAATGTGGGGCTGACTTGGGGGAGAGAGAACCCCAAAGCTGGGTGGGAGGAGCCTGGCACCCAGGAGAGAGGTAACCATCTGCAGAGGCTGGTGCTCAGTGGTGCTGGGCCGTGGCTCGGTGGAGAGCTGCCCTGAGCAGAAGCCCGCCCTCCAGGGCAGCGTGGCCAGTGCTTCCAATGGGTGGCTACGCTTGTACCAGAGGGTCCGTCAATTGGCACGGGAGTGTCAGGAGCCACCTCTCTTTGGTGAAAAGCATGTGTTATGCCCAAGTGTCATAAACCCCAAAGACTACCAGGGAGCCGAATCCGATGCAATTGCAGAGAGTCTGTATTTCAGACTAGTCCGAGCCCAGTCTCACCTACACCAACGAGGGCATGGGCGAGAAAAAGAAAGAACTTAACATATCAATGGGTTTTATAGGGAGGGTGGTGCTGCTACCTTGGCTGACCTGATTGGTTGGGTTAGACCTAGGGTCCAGTTACCTGGAGCTGGACCCGCCCCCACCTGCCCTCTCACCCCACCTGCCCTCTCGCCCCTCCTGCCCCCTCACCCCGCCCTGCCCTCTCATTTCCCCCCTTGTCTTGAGACTTAATAGGCCCAATCATGGGACCGTTTGCACTTCTGAAGGGTGCATAAAGTTCCTCCTTCCCGGTGCCCTGATCTGACATTTTGGGGGAGTTCACGAGATGTGTCCAGTGGAGACACAAGACTGCACAGTGGGGTCAGGAGTGTCCAGGGCAGAAGTGAGTCTCCCCCCCCTCCCACAACCAGTGTATCGGGGGTAAAGACTCCTGCAGCTGGCCACAAACAAAATTTCATCAGGCAGGTTGAGTACGTCGTAACTTGAGCTTGAGGGGGTTGTCTCGGTCTCGGTCGATGCTCCATCCGTTGGCGAAATCTTCCCGGATCGCAGAGGAGTCAGCTGGCCGAACATGGGTGTGGTGGACCCAGGTCGCAATGCCGTCCACTTTGAGGGCGGTGGGCGTCGTCAGCACTACGATGTATGGTCCTTTCCAACGTGGTTCAAGTGTCTCCCGGCGGTGTCTTTTGACAAAGACCCAGTCTCCCGGCCGGTACTGGTGGGGCGTCGGGATCGGGCCAGCCTCGTAGATGGCCTGTAGGCGTGGCCAAATGTCCTCATGCGCCTTCTGGAGCCTTCTCAAAGAAAAAGATATTTCTTGGTTTTCAAATTCAGTTAGCAGTTCTGCCTTAAGATTGGGAATGATAGGCGGGGGCCTACCAAACATAATTTCATAGGGAGTGAAGCCTAAGATATAAGGTGAGTTTCTCACCCGGTAAAGAGCATAGGGAAGGAGAGCCACCCAGTCCCCGCCAGTCTCCATGGTTAATTTAGAAAGGGTCTCTTTTAATGTTCTATTCATTCTTTCTACCTGTCCTGAGCTCTGGGGCCTATACGCACAATGTAATTTCCAATTTGCCCCTATAGCCTTGGCTACTGCCTGTGTTACCTGTGAGATGAAAGCTGGGCCGTTGTCCGATCCTATCACAGCTGGGAAACCGTACCTGGGTAGAATGTCCTCCAGTAGCTTCTTAGCAACCATCTGGGCTGTTTCATGCTTAGTTGGGTATGCTTCTACCCATCCAGAAAAGGTATCTATAAAAACTAGAAGATATTTATAGCCATACTTTCCCGGCCTTACCTCAGTGAAGTCAATCTCCCAGTGCACCCCCGGCTTTGTTCCTCTGAGCCGGGTTCCTTTTCCACTTGACACGGCCCTTGCATTTGTAAGCTGGCAAGTTTTACAGGCTGATACAATTTGATCTATTCTGGCGTCCAGTTGGTGAATTTTGATCTTAGCATGCCGGACCAAATCCTTTAATTTCCGGGACCCTAGGTGCGTCGATTGGTGTATGTGTTTCAACATTGGGATCCCAAGCTGGTCTGGTAGCAGGAGCTTCCTGTCTGGAGCATACCACCAGCCCCTGTCTTCCTTGTTTGTGGGGTGGCTTTTGATTCGCTCTAATTCTTCCTGGGAATATCCAGGCTGATCCGGCAGAACTGGGTTCCCTGGGTCTGGCAATTGCAGGGCCAGTGCAGGGACTGCAGTGAGGGCTACTTCTTTGGCCACCTGATCAGCCTTCTGGTTGCCCCTGGCTACAGGATTGTTGGCTTTCTGGTGTCCTGGGCAGTGGATGATGGCTAACTTGGCTGGGAGCCATAAGGCAGCTAGCAAGTCGAGTATTTCTTGTTTATTTTTTATAGTCTTTCCTTCTGCAGTCAACAGCCCTCTCTCCTGATAGATTGCCCCATGGATGTGAGCTGTGGCAAACGCATAGCGGCTATCTGTAAAGACACTGAGTCGTTTCCCGGCCCCTAGTGTCAATGCCTTTGTCAGAGCGATGAGTTCTGCCCGCTGGGCTGACGTTCCAGATGGCAG